CAGGCTGGATCAATGGGCCGAGGTCAACTGGATGAAGTTCAACAAGGGCAAGTCCTGCACTTTGGTCACAACAAACAAGCCCAGGCAACACCACAGGCTTGGTGAGGAGTGGCTGGAAAGTGCCTGGCAGAGAAGGACCTGGGGGTGCTGGTGGGCAGGCAGCTGAACATGAGCCAGCAGTGTGCCTGGGTGGCCAAGAGGCCACCAGCATCCTGGCCTGGGTCAGAAACAGTGTGGCCAGCAGGAGCAGGGAAGAGATCAATGTTCAGTTTTGGGCACCACAGTATAAAAGAGACAGTGAGGTGCTGGAGAGGGTCCAGAGAAGGGTAAAGAAGCTGGTGAAGGGTCTGGGGAACATGTTACGAGGAGCAGCTGAGGGACCTGGGATTGTTTAGCCTGGAGAAGAGGAGGCTGAGGGGAGACCTTATGGCTCTCTACAACTCCCTGAAAGGAGGTTGGAGTGAGGTGGGGGTTGGTCTCATCTCCCAAGTCACAAGCAATAGGAGAAGAGGAAATGGCTTACGTTGCTCCAGGTGAGGTTTAGACTGGATATTAGGAAGAATTTCTTTATTGAAAGAGTAGTGAGGCACTGGAGCAGGCTGTCCAGGGAGGTGGTGGAGTCACCATGTAGACGTGGCACTCTGGGACATGGTTTAGTGGACATGGTGGTGTTGGGTTGATGGCTGGACCTGATGATCTTAGAGGTCTTTTCCAACCTTAATGATTCTATGTTCCATCTATATCTACCCTCTTTCACTTTTAGTCTCTTTCTTCCTCTTGTCTGTGCCCCATGGACAAAATGCTTTGTCAGTGAATATAGTGGTTGTGACAAAATTCCAGTTACTGGAATATTTAGGGCATGGGGAGGAGGGTGGAGTCTCTCCTGTAATCCTGATGATTGCTCTTTGTGACAAATATCTAGGAAACAGGGGAACAAACAGCAAAGAAAGAAACTGTCTGAAATTCTATGAATTTATAAATGAATTAATGACCACTGTTTTGCCCCTGTGAATCTGGAGACATGAAACATGAGGCAAGAACATTTGATCTGGCCAGGTACGATGTGGCTGGGGCAGGGGCTGTCCTCATCTCTGAGCACATTTTCTGAATTATTTAGCATACAGCCTTTCTGCTCTGGCAAGAGACTCACTCAGAGCTCATCTCAGCTGCTTGTACTTCGTTTTCTTTCGTTCTTTCTTAAACAGACTTGCAACTGCTCCCATGCATTATTTATTGGAAAATATTACGCTTTCCTCACATAGCTGTGGGTGGAACAGACTCTGTAGGCACTGTTTGCAACCCCTATTTGCAATAGTTGGCAGGAAGGAAGAAACCAGGCTGCAGTTTGATAGGTAGGGTATGAAAATGTGGGGGGAAAATAGAGTTGCCTGTATTTTCCCCTTTAATTACTCTGTTCTGTGCCATAGAAAACCTGAAAACCATCTTTAATAAAACTATACCCTAGTTGCAGTCTCTATTTCTTATTTTCCTTTTGTATTATTATTATTATTATTTTTTTAAAATGGAAGTAGCTTACTTCTGCAGCATGTTAGAGAGTGATGTAATGAAGACTCCATCACATCATATTTCAAATACTCAATTTTCATTGCGTGGTAGAATCTCTACCTTTGCTTCCTGTATATTTTAGTTTACTTAAAAGAAATCTCAGTGCAACGAATGTCTAGTCAGATGAAACAGATGCATACCACAGCCTCCTATCAAGCCTCAGACAAGACAAGCAGTCCCAAAGGCTGGAAAAGACATGAAAAGATCAAGAGACAATGCACTCAACCCACTGGTATGTCAAAAAATACCAACTATATTGATTGTCCAATGCAATATGGGGAGGAAGGCTTTCCAAAAATGGAGAGCAAGCAGATTATGGAGCCAGAGAGCAATTTAGCTAATGCTTAAAAATTAGGAACTCAGACAGATGGGTATCCCTTGGGCAGCAGCATGCACTGAAAAGTGGGCAGACATTTCTCTGAAGGATGAGAGTCTGCTGCACATCGTAGTTCTCTTTCTTTGTTCCCATTTGAGAGCTTCCTGCCTTTTTTTTCCATTTATAGATGGGTTTCAGAAAAGATCACACATGACCATGTCCTGCATGATTCACCCTGTGTGTGGTGCTGCATTTATCCTGGTCCATCAACTCTGCAACAGCTCTTGTGAATAAGGGTTAGCTCATGGAGGCTTTTGGTGCCAGCCAGTGGGATATCTATGGGAGAGCCTTGTAGCACAGAAATATCTTACAAAACAAGGTCTGCAGGACCCCTTGCAATCCTGTGCAGCCTATCTGGGCTGGACTCTGTGATTTGGTTTGTTTCTCATTCATCTTCCTTCCTTTAAAAGATAGAAAACAGATGGATCTTACCCCCAGGGTAAGAAATACCCCTCTGGCCACCAGTGGCTTAGTCACTGACCATATGGTCCCTTCCACATGCTGAAATTCCTCCCCAGCAATGGTTTCTTGCAACATGGACGTGTCATGGGGAGATCTTGCCTGGGGAAACTGCACCTCCTGCAGATGGAGGGAAGTCCCTCCTGGTCCCACGGAAGCACAGATGAATCACGTTTCCCTCTTCATCCTCAGCTACAGGTGGCTGGAGAGCAGCTCTGCAGCAGTGAGATTTCTGCACGCCTCTGAGCAGCCTTTTAGGAGCAAAACCCAACCCATAAAGAAGGTAAATAAAGGCTCTGCCTGGCTGCCATCAGCTGCTCTTGCACAAGCAGTTCTGGGAGCTCATTTCAGCAGCACATTTTTGCCTCTGGTGTGTGAAGTTCAGGTTTTGCTGTCTCGTGAAACATTTTTTTCCTTCTTTTAAGGGATTTTTTTACCCCTTCAGCCACAAAGGACTGACTTGGCTTCACTTCCAAAAGTTAAAATGTAACAACTACCTTGGTGGAAAGAATTTTATAGATTTTCACCCCAGAGAAGGTGTTTTGACTAGTCATATTTCAATGAGACATTAAAAAGCCATGCTTGTGTTAAATTGCTGTCGTTCCTGGCTGTGCAACGGGGAGCAAAACCTGATGCTACAGAAATTGGTGTTAATACTTCTCAACATAAAACTGGCAGAAAAAATTGTCAGTTGTTGTGTTGCTCATATTTAAATCCACACCCTCAAGCTGTGATTCAGCAAATTCCCAGAGTAACCCTACCCTGTAACCCAGGTTCCTCCTTGTCCTGTCCTGCTGGGGGTGGATTTCCCCTGCAGAAGCCAATGAACAAAAGCTCATTTATTTCTGGACGTGGTGAGGAGGAAACTTCCTCCACCATCTCCCCACCTCTTCCTGCAAAATGTTGGCTCTCTTTTCCACCAATTACTTCAGGTCACAAATGAGAATGGAAGTGAATGGCTGTGGAGATGGGGTATAGAAATTGTTGTTCTGAGCAGAAGTTCCTGGCTCTGCTCCACACCTCATAAATAATCTCTCTCTCTGCTCATTTTGACTACGAAGAGAAGCAAAAGAAGCTGCCTCTGTCTTTCTCCAGCAAACCTAAGGTCTCTCTTGGAGAAGCAGGACTGAGCACTCTGTTATTAACTGACATTATAGGCTTGCTTTCTTTTTTTGCCACGGTTGCAGCAGCATCTTGATGGGGAAGCTGATCTCCAAAGGGCGGCACAAGAGAGACGCTCAAGTTGTCATGCTGGGGCTGGACCTCGCTGGCAAATCCACTCTCCTGTACAAACTGAAGGGCAGCCAGGCTGTGGAGACCTGCCCGACGGTGGGCTTCAACGTGGAGTCTCTGCAAACACCCTGTGGTGTATCCTTCACCCTCTGGGACGTTGGAGGGCAAGGCAGCCTGAGGGCAAGCTGGCCTGACTACCTGGAGGACACCAACGCCCTCATCTTTGTGCTGGACAGCACGGACACGGCCCGGCTGCCTGAAGCCTTGGCAGCACTGGAGGAAGCCCTGAGCCACCCCAGCGTGGCTGGTGTCCCTGTCCTCCTCCTGGCCAACAAGCAGGAGGCGCCAGGAGCCTTGGCTCCCACCGAGCTGGAGGAGAGGCTGCGGCAGGGGCGGCTGGGGGGGCGCCGCTGGGTGCTCCAGGGGTGCAGCGCCCACACCGGGCAGGGCCTGCAGGAGGTCCTGGCTGTCTTGGGAGAGCTCCTGCGGGGTGCAGAGCAGAGATCCCCATCCCCAGAGCAGCCCCTTGCAGGGCAGGTGGGCAGGAGGTGAGCCCCAGAGTAAACCTGACCCTCAAGCGGACCCTTCCCGCTCATCGCCGCCAGCAGGTTTGTCACAGAGGACTTCAGCCTCCACTTATCCTCAAAAATGAGCAGACCTGCAGCTGGCACGTGCTGCAAAACACCCAGCTGCTCACCACCTAAGCCACCAGGGAGACCTCCAAGCAAAACTCCCACCACAGAGCATTTTTGGCCCTGTGTCTTCTACTCTCAGCACCAGCTGCAGTTCCTCCCGCTGTTGGCAGCTCTGCTCACCCGCTGCGTGCCCATCCAGTGCTTCAGCAGGGAGGCTTTTTTTGCCAGAGCCATATAAATTATACCAGAGCTCCACACAAGGGACAGAGGTTGTTCCTTTCTATCCAGAGGGGGTTATTTTTGGAGCTCTCAGCCCCTGATGCAGCTATCCTGATGGGGGTGATCCCCACGAGGAAGGTTTGGAGGTGACCTGTGCCACTTCTCACTCAGCTCAAATCATCATGTTTATCATCTGGATGTTCATCAGCTGAAAATGGAATGGCTGAGCTGGAACAGCATAAGCAGAGGACTTCAAACAGCCCAAAGCTGATTGTTTTAATATTTTAATGTAGCATCTCCAGGTATGAGCCCTGAGCCATGGACGTGGGTCAGGGTTGGATGGCACGGTGTGGTTCAAGGATGTGTAGATATTAATGTCTTTATTTCTTGCTTTGGGTCTTTTCCATTTGTTAATTTTCACAAATACTGATTTCATGAAAATGGGACCTCATGTTGCTTGGATTATATTTAAAGAAATCAGATCTGACTTCTAGATGCTTGGAAACACATCTGCATGGCCAGTCAACCTCTAAATATCATCATGGTGGCCAAGATGAAGCCCCATCTCTCAGACTGCTTGAAACTGGATGAGACCACTCTACAGGCAATGATTGGCAACCATGGGCATCTATGGGCACAAGCAGGTTGGTAGCCAAAGGGTTCTCCACACTCAGCTGCATGCAGGGCAGCCAAAATGTTCCTGGTAGCTCATGGTAGGGCTGGGTCCCTTGTTGCAGTGATGGTCCTTGCCCAATTCTGCTCAACCCACCACTGAAAAGACGTATAAAATGTGTGCCTGAGGGCTCCCTAGACTCCAAATTCTGTTGTTCAGGGTTAAAAATATGAAATTTTATAGTAGGCCCTACTTTATTGTGAAATTAATGAAAGTGGTGGGAGAAGGGGAGAAAAAGGACAGGAAATTTTCAGGCAGCAAAAGTCAGCTGCTTTCAAGGAGGAACCTATTGAAACCTAGAAACACCAAGGAGAAATACATGGTGAAATCCTCTTCTGTTCATACCAGAGCACTTTATAATTTTTAAGGAATTAATTATCCAGCTGCTACTGCTACTGTTATTAGCCTCATTCCATAGAAGGCAGCAGCTGGAATAGAGAGATTAAATAGTCATTAAGAAACAAGAGCTGACATTTATTAGGAAGATCTCCATAAAATAAATCCTTCCCAATGGAAAAAATCAACTTTTTATTTTTTTAATGTATTAATGTAGATCTATTATTTGCTATAAAAGAGTGTTGATCTGGCCTAAGTGTTCATGGTTATGAGTATACTTAAACAGCCCTGGATTGTGTCATTAACTGTACAACAGACCTGTGTGCATGATTAAAGAGGACAGAATTACATCTTTAAATCTTTGCAGGTTGATCTGCCTTGGGCTTGTTGTAGGTGGTTGTTGCTTCTAACATACAAGTGGATTGATGCATGTGTTTGACTCTGCAGGATTGTCTGCTGGTGGCTAAAAAAGGCACTGGAGCCTCCTCATTCCCCCATGAGTGTTTTTTAAGCCCTTTCAAGAGAAAAAAATAGGCTCCTCCAGCAGCAAATAGAGTTAACCACCAGCTTTTGGTGGATACCACCCATTAAAAATTCAAATAGCAAGGTAAGAGGCTGGGGGAGCAGAGATTGTTTTTGGCAGTGGGAACCCTGGATGCCTGAAACTGATGAAGCAACATCCTGGTGACTGAAAGTGTTCTCACTTCCCCTGAAGCAGTAATTTGGCAAAACACCCAACCTCCTGGGGCATCATGTGATTTACCACCCTGGCTCTCTGGAATAAGGCTTTTCTAGATGCTCAGCCACATCACTCAGCTCATTTATGCCATTGTCAGGGGCTCTCAAAACGATGCTGGGTCATAACATTTGGAACAGCAACGTGATTTACTGCTCATTATTTCCTCTTCCCTCCTGCCTTGCAAAGTGTGTTAAATCAAGTCCATCTAACGAGCTCTGCACTGCTCTGCTCAAGTGCTAGCAGGATGCTCACCCAACAGCACTTAAATGCTTCAGTGGCACAACTCCTGCCCAGTAGAACAGGGCAGAACTTGCAGAAAAAATCAACTTTTTATTAAGGAACCCTCCAGGCAGGAAGGCACCCTCAGATTTACAGTTTCCATCCTCCTGGGGGTGTGGCAGATGTCACAGCCTCTGCACCAATGTCTAAAGTAGCACAGCTTCTCTCTTAGTAGCAGGCAAAAGAAAAATCCTTAGGGTGCTTCCTTGTTTCAGGTTCCTCACAAATTTGAAGCATCCTTTGGGTTATTGGCCCCAGAAGCCACTCTGGTTGCTCAAGAGCCCTTTTTAGCAGCTTCTCTGGATGCTAAGTCTATCCACTGGCTGTCACTGGTGCTGTCTGTCTCAAAGCCAAAAGGAGAAGTCTGGAACAGCAGGATGTTTCTCCTTTTTTTTTCTCCCCAGTAACAAGTATTATTGATCTTTTTACAGGTAAAGAATTGCTTTGGAATAGTTCCACTGCTGTATTTTTTTCCCCACCACCCTTGTTATAACTTGCATCCCATCTCCACAATCTTCCAGTAGCCTCCTACAGTTTCATCAGCTCTCTTTAGCTGAGCTGGTCAGTCCTGAGTTGTTAATGATGTGGTTTGCCTTTCCATAATCTCAAATCTGCTAGTTAGGAGCTAAATGTCTTGGCAAAAGTGTCCAACTCATAGGATAGCAAGGTTTGGAAAGGACATCTGCTCCAAAACCCCACTTAAATCAGTTTGCTTGAGGCCTGATGCAGCAGTTTTGAACATCTCTAAGGATGGAGGTTCAACAGCCCAACACCTTTAGAAGCACTCTGGTAGGTATTAACCTTTACAGCAACCTAACCAGCATCTGTAGCTGTGCTTCACCTGCCCAGTCACTGTTCCCCTGAGAAGAGCCATGCTGGTGAGTGTCTGCCCTTGCTTGGAGCTCTCAGAGCAGTCTCCTTCACCTCCTCCAGCCCTGGGACCTCTCACCCCTTCTGTGCTTTACAGGAGTCACTGGGAGCTGCCTCCAGGTCCTGCTGCCTCCTCCAAGGACACCAAGACACTCTGGTCGTCTTTCATGCTGCTCAGGGAAGGGCACAGCTAATTACTGACTGACCTGCTAACCCTCCTGTGGGACTGGTTTTTGAAAGAGCTTCAGTAAACCCTTTTCAAGACTAGGAACCCAGCACAGGTTTATTTTTTAATTTCTGGCAGGAAGTTTTCCCTCTGCCCCCAGAGAGAAGGAAAGCAGTGAGCTGGGAAAAAACCAAACAATATTCAAACCAGTGCAGGAAGGACAACTCATGGTTTTTCCCCTGCCTCTTCACAACTTCCATATTGCAGCCAGTCCATGACACAAAGTGGTTTCTACTTGCACTTTATCTAATTTCTGCTTATGGAATTATTACTCTGGGTTTTTTTTTTGGGTGGACCTACATGCCATTTGCCCTGCAGTTACCTGTGGGGCTTCTCTGGTGGGTCTCACCACAGTCTTGCTTTGTCATTCCAGGTGTGGTAATGTCTGGGTGATGCTCACCTGAGGCAGCTGAAGGAATGGTTTGTGGGGATCTCACTGTGTCCTCACCAGGGTTCAGCACGTGGTGGGTGACACCCACGACAGGCTTTGGGTGAGGAGGACACATTTTGGTTACAAACAAGCTGGAAGCAGAGGACAGTGTCTTTCCCCTGCTGTCCTACCCAGGCTTATCCCACCCAACACCCACCCTCACCTGGGCAAATGCCCTCAACAAGCAGGGGGGGCTGGGAACAAGGGAACAAGGTGCTCTTGAGCCAAGGGACCTGTCTGGGTAGAAAGCTCCCAGAAGACCCTGAAGACATTGAGGTTCCCCCACTGCAGGAACTGCTGCAGAAGCGTGCACTGGTCTGTCTGCAGCCACAACTGAGGCACCCTCCCCACCAACAGCTGCTGCTCAGGCTGAAAGGCTTTTATCTGCAGAGATCTCACCAAGCCCATCTGAAAGTGCCACATGCCCTGCATTTTTGGAGGGGTCAAGCCTCCAGCCAGCCACCCTGCAAGCCTCTGAAGCAGCAGGGCACCCACGCTGCTGCTTCATGAGCCAGGTATGTCTGTCCCACATCCCCACACTTCCTACAAAGCTGCTCAAAGCTGTCTGCTCTCCATCCAGGGTGAGGGTGAGGGACCTGGATTCACCCATCGGGGTGGCCCGGAGGGAGCAGGGAGCAAGGGGCTTGGCTCTGCCATGACCATGCAAAGCTCTTGCCTGGGAGGTGGTTTTCAGCCTGCAGAGTGATGCTGCCCTGAGCACTTCAAGCCATTTTAGCAAATTTGGGTGTTGCTCTGTGGGCACAGGAATCCCAAAGGCATAACTGTAATACGTGTGACAGATCAATGATTAAACTGGGGAGAGATCTCTCCCAAATATTTATCTTCCTGGACTTCAGCCAGGCCACAGCTGCCCATTCTCTGCCCAGCTCATAGTTAGGCACCAGGCTGGAGGGGTCACTGGCCTTGTCTCCAGTCATCCTGGGGAAACTCAACTTCTGATACCCACAAGGCAAGAGGAGATGCCAAGAAGGTGTGGGCCAGGTCTGCTGGTCACTCCCCTGCTCCTCCTATGGGACTCCACTGTCCTCACACAGGGAAGAAGACAAAGGCTGTGTATTTCTATTGTATGGCTCTTGTGGAAGTTTCCTCCAACCTCTTCACCCAGCTGAAGGCAAAGACATTTT